CACTTGGGCTTTGCCGTCACCTTCTTGAAAGTTTGAGGTAGAAAGCTGTATTTGTTGATTTTCCTCTGATAGGGAGGTTGCGGGCTTTCTTCAGAAAGGATGCGACGAATCTCAGGGTTTCAATCACTGTGCAAAGATTTTTCACGCTCAATAAATTGTTCATTGGGTTAATACCTCTGAAGGTGTGTAAAGCCTGCGGTGTTTTGGGAGTATGTTGCACGTCAAGAACGGGTCCCAAATTTCACTGACATAACGGCGTTTCCAAAGAAAATACGACACCTCAGAGCCATATCTGTTGAATTTGCTTCTTGAGTTTGTCCAGGCAAACCTCCAAACTGGACAGAAAAGGGGAGAGAGCTGCCTTATCCGTATTTATTTGTGGGTTTGCTGGACGTTACTGATTTCCTGAGCCTCGATCTCTGCTACTGCAGTGCTTAGCGAGAGTGACCAGATCAGGAGACATTTCAAATAATAGGTTTGAGAAGTAGACAAGGATAGTGCTCGAACCTGTAATTCAGGCTCTTATTGCATAGGTTACAAAGGATCGGTTGGCTTCTGGGCACGCTGTTAGGTGGTTTGCTCTTCCTTTGTTCAGACTTGTGAAAAAAAATAAAAATGAGGATACAGATAGTAGTATTATCACTCCCTTCAGAAGAGAGGGCTTTGGGAGGAATTGTCTCAGTATTCTCATTCTCAGGTCTTCATTTAGATAATGTGACTTCCCCCAACTCCATGGAAGTCAATAAGGTTTATGCCAGAGCCTTGGCACTCTATAAATTAAATATTAGGAGCCGTGTTTGAAGTTTAAAGCCCTCCCTCCTCCTGCTAGCTCAGATTTTCTGCTGCTGTGCTTTTTTCTTTATGCCTGAGCACCTTGCTGACAAGTGCTAATAACAAAATGCCAAGAGAGGGTCCAGTTGGAGTTACCACGCATTAAACATTCTGAACTTGTCCTTTTGCTCATAGATTGTGCATAATTAATAATTAAACGGTTTCAGTTGTAATGGGTTGACCTTCTTGAACTGTTCATTATTCACAAGGCAAAGGCATCACTCAAACTTTTTTCCTATTGCCCTTCCCCGATCTCTCTCTGTGTGCACAGTTTGGCTGGTTTTGAGAAATCAGAGGCTGATCTTGCCTTCTCCTGCAGCAGATCCTGGATGCAGCGATGTCATTTGGGTGCTCAGGGCAGTAGCCGATCTTGGGAATAAAGCCTCCTGGGAATGCAAGAGGCCAATGGTCCCTTGACCCTCAAAACTGTTCCTTCCTTTACTGCCATTTGGGCAGCATCCCCACTGTACAGGTCTTCATGTCATTGGTTGAAAGATACAGTATTTAACAAAAACAAAAGAACTGTTACTCAGTTTAAAATGAGTATGCCTGTTCCTCGCTCCTTTAAAATCTTGATTTTCTGCGCTTTTTTTGCCTCTATATTACGATTTCAGTGCAGGTGGGTAAAATAAGGCAGGCCGTCGGAGTGCAGCTCACCGTTCCCTGCTCCTACATCAAATGCGACCGTATTGCGTCAGGCAAGTGGCGTAGACCTGGTAGAGACATGTAGCTTTGCTTTATTTCCTCATATTCTCATCCTTTGGAGCGTCAGACAAAGTCCAGGGAACTTCAGGATACAATATAGGATGGTGTTTACTTTGCATAGTCTTGAAAATTTTAAATACCTCATACAACAAGGGTATGGTTGCTCGAGTTACAGAGGTAGCAACAGCAGCGCTTCCTCTCATGAGAAATTGCTGGAAAAACAAAGTACTCCTGCCTTTCTACTTCTCAAATGTACTTGCAGGGAGCAATTGCTGGTTTCCCTGGGCAGATACTGAATGGGTGGGTTTTTCCTTCCAAGGTAAAATGCAATGTTTGGGGCAGCTTTTCAGTGTCCACCTTTGGAAGCAGTTGAGAGTCCGTCCTTCCCTGGTTCAGCTAAGCCCAAAACCTGCCTCCTTCTTCCCTGTCTTACCTATGCTGTAAAGTAGGAATTGGCTCATACCTACAGGAGCAAGGATCAAGTTTTTATCTGCACTGACCTGCTCGCCCTCACGCTCAGCAGCAAGGATTTCCTTGAGATTGATGCACTCTCCCAAAAGGCTTGCCATTTTTCAGGCACATAGCCAGTAAATTTGTGGGTGCCCAGTCTAAAATCCTTGGAAAAACTGTATCAAAGCATCTGGTTTTCATGCTGAGATCCCGTTGGTGTTCATCTCCAACAACCCATGTCATCTTTTCCTGAGCTCCCGAGAGCAAACCGACCATGACCATCAGGTCTACAGCAGTAGAGAGTGGACCTGGATGGGGGTTAAATACCTGCATTGTATAGAAAAACGTGCAAAAATAATAAAATAGCACTTTCAGCCAGGTGAAATTTTCTTGCGTGCTTGTGCAGGAGCACCTTGTCTCTTGGCTGTGCCGCAGTACAGGAGCTGCGTGATCAAGGGGTTAATTCTGATGGAGTGACTTCTTCCCTTGCCTGCAGGAACCCTGATGCCAGCTTAGCTCGGGATGGCCAGAGTGGCACGCTGGTGGCTTCAGAGCAGTTCCTCAGCTTCTCCTCCCCTCTTGTAATGAAGTTTCACCATCTTACGGGTCTGTCATCTCTTTGTGATTGCAGAAATTATCACCTGCCAAATGAGTGTGAAGTGCCGTACGCCTGTCCTGTTCCCCAGCGTGGACTGCTCCGAGCTGGCAGCCCCTTTAGAGGAGGGGTTGTCACAAGCTCCTCGCTTGCGTTTTACTTAAAATAGGCAGTGGGGGTACGTTGCTGGGCAGAGCCAGTTTCCCAGGGAATGGGCTCCCAATTATTTCGCCGTGTAGTTTTCAGAATGATCTGTGATACATGCCCAGAGTATTTTGTAGAATCCCAGGTTGGAAGGGACCTCAAGGATCATCTGGTCCAACCTTTCTTGGCAAAAGCGCGATCTAGACGAGTTGGCCTCGTGCTCTGTCCAGAAAATCTTACCGATGCTGGGGACCCCACCTCCTCCCTGGGGAGGTGATCCCAGTGGCTGATCACGGCGAGAAATTTCCCTCTCACATCCAGTTGAGATCTCCCTGGGAGAAACACGTATCCATTCCCCCTCCTCTTTTCCATGCGACTTCTTCTCCATCTTCTTGTAGCCACCCATGAAATACATGGTGGTAAGTTGATTTTCTCTGCTTTGAGCCTGTCCCACCTGGGAAAGCGGCTTCTGTCACTTTGCATGCAAGCCCGGGAAGGGAGAACGACAGGGAGAGGCCAAACCAGCTGGGCTCCGTGCTGTAGGAGCCGGGCTGACATTTTGCTCCGTGTTTTCTGTATTAATAAGAATAATTTTCATGCGCCGTTCTTTGAAGTGGAGAAAGTTTAATTGTGCTGCTTATTTCCTTGTGTTCCCAGCACTCTCCAGTGGAAACCTTCCTATATTGATGTCATTTATAAGTTTAGAAACAATAACCTCTCCCTTGCCCGGTCTAAGTTCAAAGAGAATTTGGGCATGTTATATCAAACACTCCTTGCATTTAATAGGAGTCTTTGAAAATTGTAAAGCAATTTTGGCTTCTCCTTTTACTCTTCAGTTACTTTTGATTTAATTGTATTTTCCAGCGGTTTCCAATTGTTTGAATTGGAAACAAAGCCTTAATAAGAGTTCTAGTTAATTTTCTGTCTTGTAATTACCGATCTCATTTTTCTGATAATTGGCCACAGCAATTATATGTATATTTACTAATCACATAGGAGGCTCTGCAGTTGTGTCTATCTGCCACCATTGATAATGGCACACACATTGCAGAGGTGCTTTTATCATCTTCTTTTTTCCACTACATCAAAGCTATTTCCCCGCATTCTCAATAATGAATACATGCATGCATTTGACACAGTTGTGTGCTAGAGAAATTGTTTGGCTCCCACCAAATGCTGCACGCTCTGAGTTTCTTGCCTGCAGCGCTGGAAGGTTGTATGTAATGATATATTGCTCATCCAAATGGCCAAAGCACTCCAAAGCGCAGTGAGATTAAAATAAGTCATTCCTTTGTTAATTTAAATAGGTGCATGTATCATACTTTGCAGGGTACTTTGTGTAGGGATGTCAGGGAGGAAAAAAGCCGCCGAAAGGTATTTTTAATAGCAAATGAGAATAGATGAGAATGGAGTCATTTGCAGCTGCCTGTTTTATGTGGCTCTCTTGTTCCAACTGTAGGTCTAATGAGATGACACTGTTAAAGTACTCTGCAGTGTAATTTCATTACATCCTGAGCTGTTACACTATAAACACAGTGGAGCTCTCTGTCATTCTTGGAAAAACTCCTAAATTCGTAAAGCCCTTTTTTTTTTTTTTTTTTTTTTTGCAAATGGTGATGTTGTTCCCTGTTTGTAATTTTTTTTTTAGCTTGTGCTCTTAATTTCTTTTTTTTTTCCGTTTCATAAATACTGGGTGGTTATTTTCTATCGCTAGACTGATAAATCCTGCAGGTTTTTTCCACTTAAAAATTCTTTTGCCTTTTAAATCCAGAGCAGACAGCATCTGAGGACAGCCTCTAAAATGAATAAGTGTAAATAAACATGAGTGTAAATAAATAGCAAATGCAGTGAAAGAAACAAAGGTCAACACAAGAATAATTTCACAGCTCTTTGTTAATTACAAGACCATTTG